ACACACACACACACACACACACACACAGCTCGTCTTCCTCTCAGGCCAATTCAATGATGGAAGCTCCAACATTTAGTTGTTTTTTTTTTTCTCGCCTCACAGCAAACATATCTCCATATCCACGTTAAATAATAAGATCTGCTACTGAAGTCGAATGTGACATTGAGCTAAAAGCAGTAAAGGTGGTAAATCTTATTTGACATTTTATACAGTTTAATCATATTTACTATCAACGACGCGACAAAAAGAACTGTTTTAACGAAAGCATCAGCAGGTTTAAATTCTTCAAAATACATAAGTGGATGGTTTTGTGTTATTTAGATGCTCCATGTTGTGAAAATGTCTCCTCATTAATCATATTTTAACAATAAAATAGCCTTTTTTTAAAGCTTTCAAAGCTTTAAAGCACAAAAATGAACTACAATTAAATAGACACTGTCATAATTTACACTTTGAAATAACCAGAAAAGGGCTCTTTTATGTTTTCTATTGCAGAATATGTACAAAGAAATTGCCTTAAATGTAAATTTCAACAATGACAAAGAGCCAGTGGAGCTGAGTGAGTCAAAGACTAAATTAAATCCATCGCAGTTTATTTGATCTTTTCATTCAGTGGGAATAAAAGCGTCTTGCAGGGCGATGCTCGGATGTCTCCTTTGTGCTGAATTTATAAGAGGGTTCAAACGCGTAGGATATAATCCATTAATCAAATAAAAGGTCCTTGTCGAGTGGGAGCGTTTAACAGTAACATGCCCGGGTTGACTCTTTGCCTGGCGCCGCTCTCACACGTTTCTTCTCCATTAATGACCGTGCACATCAATTGGTCTCGGTGTTTTTTCTTTCTTTCCTGCGAGGAGGCAACAAACAGCGTCTGCAGCTGCACCTGCTGCAGGGAAGCTGCTGCTGACTGTTCAATAAGCCACGCAAACTATTCTTCTCCACGAAAAACAAAAAAGAGAAAAGGCTGCAGAGTGAGCAGGAGCACTTTGTGTCTGCGAGGAACACTGAGGCTGAATGCAAAGTGGCATGTGACCAAATCACCACTTTTTTTAAAAAATGCATTTTTTTTATATTTTGAAAATGCAGGATATTATTTTTATTGGCTTTTTTTTTAAAGTCATAACGCATTATTAGTCTAAATAAAAAAACAGAACCTGTCACATCATGTTAGAAATAACATTTTCACGGATATTCGAGATGAGCCTTGATATTTAACCTTCGTTACATGAACAGGTTATTGAGAAATGTGGGAACTAATATTATCATTTTATTTAACTTTATTTTTAAAACTCTGGACAAAGAAAAACGCGAAACAAACTTTTTACATTTCTGATTTGATGTCTGACTCCAAAAGGGGACTTTAAATAAAATAGACTAAAGGCCTGCAGGTGATTTTTTATTTTTATAAAAAAAAATCAAAATTGGTGAAAATTATAAATAGAATATAGCAGTTTACGATTTTTTAAAAACATTTTATTAAAGAGGGATATTTGTTTATTAAATCCAGAATGAAGAGAATGGAAGATAATTTGCCTTGAGGCCTTGTTGCCACGTATGATTTAAACAGGTGTATTTTGAACGATTTCCTCACAATAACAGATTATAATAAAGGATTCAATGGATAGTAATCGAAGAAGTATTTTTTTTCTTTAATATATTGTGGATCAAGTGCCGAGTGACTTTTACGCACGGTGTCTGCAGCGCGTAAAACATCCAAGCAACAACAACAACAAAAAGTCAAGTCACCTGAAGATCCTCCAGGCCGTGATGTCCCAGGTGCATCCCGAGGGGACCGTCTCCCAGCGCGGCAGCCCCTTCCCCGAGACCGTGGAGCAGTCGGGGGACGGCTGCATACTCGCGCCGGTGGTCGAGGCTGAGCGCCCGGTGAGACTGTGACAGGAGCCCCCCATCCTCGGAGCGCGACCTCTGCGAGTGCCACGCCGCTTGCTGGTGCTGGTGGATGGAGTTGATGGAGGTGTAAGGGTCTGACAGGTGGGAATAGTCCTGGCTCTGGGAGTATGGCAGGGAGGACTGGGGATAGGGGGGAGGGAAGTACGGAGGCTGGAAGTCAGAGGCCGGGGTGTGGCAGAGCGGGGGAGCCGAGGAGTAGGCGGCCTGGTTCAGGGAGGACAGCTGGGAGAGGCGCCCACTCGGCGAAGAGCCGCTTAGTCCGTCTGCGCGGTCCTGGAAGAAAATGAGAAAGTTTGATTTTATATCAGGATCTTCAAGTTTTCATGAAACAATTCTCCCACAGATGATTTACGATTTAACCAGATGTCACATAGATTCCAGAATCTGCTTGTTCAGGCCTAGAAATAGAGCAAATTTGTTTTTTTTAATTGAACAGAAAACAGTAGAAATCTTAAAGAAACGTATTTTCATTTCTATTAGACTGTTGGAAATAGCAGCGGAGCTTGAAGTGATGCGCACTGACAGGAGGCGCCGTTGGCATCGCCGCTGAACAGTGTCAGAAAGGTCACGGCCACCAAGGAGCTACACAAAGGACAGGTAATGCACAACAATAACACGTTGCTCCAACAGTATGGGGGGGGGCATCTGTAAATAATCTGCCACCCTGTCAACACATACACACGCTGACCCCCCCACCACAGAGTGAAAGGGGAAAAAAATGGCTCATCCTTTTTGGCAAGACGCAGGAAAACAAATTTCATTTAGACTTCACAAGTTTGAGCCCTCGTGTAACAGCCGTGGAAGAGTGTGTGTGAGTGTGTGTGTGAGAGAGAGAGAGAGTGTGTGTGAGTGTGTGGAAACACCAGCCTACATTTGTGCTCACACACATCCTGCTCAAATTGGATTTTTTTTTTTTTTTTTTCTGAAAGCTGGGTCACCCAAAATCAATGCTGTCGTGGTGGAACAACGTCCATTATGTGACGAGGCGCAGAGGGCCGCTGCCAGCTTCAAACGGACACTTGGCACAGACAGACTCGTAATTGTCATCCAACGACCAAACTGTGCAGGATCGTGTCGCCTGATTTAATTCCAAGCAAGTTTGAAGTTATAGTCTAATGCGTAAAGCACAGTGGATCCTCTGTAATCCTGCGTGTCAGGAGTTTGTGCAGTGCGCGGACACTTCACTGTCAGTGGCTCTCACTCGCTGTGACACTGTGCAGACAAAGACCGTCTCCGCGGACAGATGCGCAGCAGTAATCTCACTGTCAGACCGGCTGACACTTTGGATCCTGCCGGAGAGCAAAAAGACAAACCAGACCCACCAGAGATACCTTTAACTTTACGCGTAAAACAAATAATAATAATGATGATAATAATAATAATTATCACCAAGGATTAATATTCTCCACAGGCTGACAGTTGGTGCCACAGGTCCACAAATGCACATTCATCAAATCCTTTAATTCGCATTTTAATTACGAAGTGCAGTTTTCTCCACTCCTGAAATTCTGCATTTTTTTTTCTGAGTTTATTCTCCTGGAATTCCTCCAAACGAACTCTTTTCCTAAAACTGAGATATACATGAACACGTATCAGCAGAACAGATATCCTCCTATCAAACTCACCATGGCCGAATAGGTGTGGATTAACATCTGGACCACTCTGGATGTCCCCAAATGTAAATGTATTCAACAGGACGCGCAGGTTTTCCAGCGACTGAACGATGTGACCAAATGTTCCCGAGATGTAAATCCAGGCTGTTTTAACGGTCCATTAAACTCAAGTGTTGTTATTTACTTTCCCTTTTTCCTCGGTGCTCGACGGAGCTCTTTTACGCACAGATGACAAGCTGCTGCTGCTGCTGCTGCCAGACACACACACTCACACACACGCGCGCACAGCACAGTCCTCCAGCTTCTCCATGAGCGCACTACTTATAGGTTTGGCGCGCACCCGGCAGAATGAGGGGAGGGGTCGAGAGGGCCCACTTCTCTTAAAGAGATATAATCATCCATGTACCGGTTGTTAATTCATACAAACACCGCACCTTTATATTTTGTTTACTATTTTTAAAATACTGGCATTACACAGAACTCCTGGTTTTTACGCACCAAGTTACACAGATTTTTGTGAGGTTTTTTTGTGTTTACTTCACAAATATCGTATCAAAATGATCTTTTTTAATTTTAATTTAAACAAATCAAATCAAATCAAATCACAGTCTCTAATTTCTGAGGCAAACACCAACTAGTTAAGAGCGTTTTATCATTTTTACGCACGGACATTCACGTTATTTTGCCAGAGATCTTGAGTTTCTTACTTTTAAACTCTGAAAAAAAAATAGATTTCTACAAACGTTGTACCTGCTGGAATCCACACTGAATCACTCACAGGTTTAATTATCGACAAGTTTATTATTTTGTGGTTTCTAAGTCTGAAAACAAGCCACCACGTCCTGCGTTTTACTTCTATTCTACAGTCACGCCTGCTGAAATAAATAAATGTATATATACATATATTTATTTATATATTTATACCCCATGGAAACAGAAGAGTCCGGTTTTTCTTTTACCTGCAAAATGTCGGTCTTGGTTCGGGATTTCCAGAGCATGGTGGTGCAGGTGATGGTGGAGCTGGTGGCGGTGCTCGGTCTGGGCGTCAGGCGACAGCTGAGGGGGTTAAGGTGACGCAGTGGATGGAGGCTGAAGGTGCAGAGAGGAGTGAGTTAGTTTGAGACGATGCATGAGTTTGTATGGATGAGTCAGAGAGAAAAGAGACGGCTGTTGGGGAGGGAGGGGGGTTAAAACAGAAAGGAGAGGAGGGCGGGAGGTGACAGGAGTTGAGGTGGGGGTTGATTTAAAAAAACTTCTTTCACGCGTAAACATGGACTAAAGGATCAGGGATGAAGTGCTGGAGAAGAAAAACGAGGCAGGCCGGAGATAAACACCAGGATCACACATGAAATGAAAAACATCTTTATCTTCTTCCTTTGAATTCACGTTTTTTTTTACTAATTCACGTCATTTTCAAGTCAAGTTTTCTGACCTGAAAAAAGAAAATCTCCCAATTTGACAATAAAAGTATAATTACATTTGAAAATATTTCTGCTTGGGAGACGTTTCAACTCAATTTACTTTGAAATTAATGTCCTTGGGAAAAGTTGAATAATTTGACATTTTATTTGCTGATATTTTTGTTGCGTTTATATGTTTAAGTGATCAATTTAAATTTAATGAAGTTACCAATCTAGTTATCTCTTAAACACAAACTGCAGATCTGTGCGCAGGGGAGGAAAAGTGGTGATCAGGAACTTCAGCCACATCAAGTCTGACTGCGCCATCTTGTGGTGGTTGCGAGGCAAGGACACCTTTGCCTTTCTAGTGTAAGAAGTTTCACCGGAGACTGAAGTTACTGCAGATGATTTATCACTTGAATGATATTTATTCCACTGATGATGATCCACTGTAAAAGAAAAAAAATCATAGCAGAACAGAAGACTTAAGGGCGGACATGTTCGATTGTTGAGTATAGCTGCAAGAAGAACATTAGCAACAGAGTTCTCTAATAAAATAATTCTTTATTCAATGATTTACATTTCAGGATTTACGTGTAAGAAACAGCTCGTGTTGATTTTAATTCCTGGGAGGTAAAAGTAAAACTTATGCTTCCAGGGCACAGCTGTCTCAACAGGCATGACATTTATGTGGTTTAAACTATGGTTCAGTTCTCAGATTATTTTCACCGATGGGAATAAAAGCATCTCAGTCTCAGGGTAAAATTACACAGAAGAAACATAATTTTCTCTATTTTCAATTTGAGAGCTTTGGTTTCTTTTCATCTCTTTACACAGAACAGCCAGAGGACACTCCATCCACGTCAGAATCATAAACTACATAAAGATGGACGACAAGCAAAGCCTAAAGCGTCTCAATCACCCCCCCGGGTCATAAACCCCACCTCCTTTATGTGAGTGGATCGACATTGACCAAACTAAAAAGTCAAATGAATTTTCTCCACAGATGGTTTCTGTCATTTGAAGGTGAAAGTGGAGACACATTGTCCATCTTTATACAGCCTGTGAATAATATAACTAAACATTTATACAACACACCAGTTTGGCTTCAATGACTGCTGAGCTTTTTATTTCCACTTGTTTGTCCATCGGCAGCAGTTTGGTTTCACTTCACTCCCATTGTCTTCTTCAGGTTCCGCATGCAGCTCAAAGCTCCTTTATTATTTCTCATCACGTCTCCTATCTCCTGTTTACAGAGGGGACACCGCTCTGCCACGGCACACAGAGCTTCCTCTAGCGCCTCCTGCGTGTGCTGGTCAGATAGTGCGCTACACTGACCCAGCATGGTGAGAGTGTGTTTGAGCCAACCTTCCTCTCTGACCAGCGTGGTGATCCAGGGCTGAGCGCGGACGCAGCCTCCCAGAGCTTGCAAGCCCAACCTCCAGAGCTCGGCAGCCTCGTCCCAGTTCTCCTCCCAGCTGACGCTCACCTGAACCAACTTGGTGCTGGATCCGGAGTCCAGGGCGCCGCGGAGGAACCGGAGAGCTGAGGAGAAGAAACGCCTCTGACTGGCTTCCACTGATCCTGGAGAAACAACAAAACAAAAGTGTAAGTTCATGATGGCGTTTAAAGTTTCTGACGAGCTAAAGCTGCACACAACTGATATTTTGAGCTTATAGTTAATTTTGACTTGCTGACTTGCAGCACGAAGTCAACACTGAACCTCTGTGTTATAAAGCTCTTCTGGCTCATGTATTTGCAAACAATCGCCGACTTTCACACGAAAACAGAGGAGCCTTAGAACTGTGTGAAAACTTCTTTCACAATAAAGAGTCAGCAGATTAATAAATACAGTTTTACAGATCTGCTAGACATTACAGTAATGTTAAAACTGTGAACTCTGCTTCCTGTTAATGACCTGGGTGCGTGAATGATGCAGAGCTTAAACGTGTGTTTTAGTTGATAAAACAAAATGTTTGCTGCGAAAAGGGTGAATCATACAAGCACTGGCACCTGAATCTGTGTTAATGGTGCTATAAATAAAATGGTGCCAATTGCTCTTTACCTGAAGGAGTTGATTTGAGTCGACCAATCATCAGCCCCAAAGTGCAGAAATTCGCTGCAAGGACGAGGAGGCGGGGTTTATGCACCAACACTGGAAGTGCTTCACTCAGCAAAGCCTCTAGAGTTCTGAAACACGGATCCTTTCTAAAACACAGAGAAACAAAACTTAGAAATTACAGAATGACTTCGTTTCAGCCCCAGGGTTCAAACAAGTATTTGATTTGAACATCAGCTCTGTACCTGACTCTCTCTGGTTCCGTGACGGTGAAGTTGAGGAGTGCCGAACAGGCCGTCTCCATGCTGGGATCCCTGCCCGACGCAACCCCACTTTTTCCCTTGAGAGAATTCCAGCTCTGGGTCAGAAAGTCCACCAGCAGGGCCGGGGTGTCGAGCGTTAGCAGCACCTTCCTGGGACCTTCCTCTGCCGACAGGTGGCACAGAGCCGGGAGGAGATACCTGGAGAGACGAAGATATTTTTCTTGGAGATCCTGGCACAGAAGACGAGTAAAATCTGTCCTCCAATGTGTTGTTGTTCCTGTAACACTACTGATTCATCATTGTCATCTTTACCTCAGGGGTTCTTTGCCCGTCCACGGTCCCCTCTCCTCAGAGACAGACATCACGGCCATCCAGTCAGAGAGGCCCTGCTCGGGGCTCTCACCCCGCAGATGACTTTGGACGTAGCCGATCAGGAAAGGCAGCAGTCCAGTCACTTCCTCCTTCAGACAGGAAGTCTCCTCGGCCAGCCATGAGCAAAGAGAGCGGAATGTGGCGAAAATGAAAGGGTCGCCGTATCGACTTGGATCCACCTACGAGAAGAGAAGAGGAAGAGAGACTCAGCACTAGGAAGAATTATTATCGCATGGCACAATGCGTGATTACATTTCCCGATGCAGCAGCGAGCAGCTAATTTGGTATCAAAAGGACAGAGTCCCACAAACAGAAGCTCAAACTTCATCCCCTCACCTGTTGCAGGTGGTAAATTACAGCGGAGAAGGCCTCCTCCAGGACCCCAAGGACCTGCTGGCTCTGCTGCAGACTGAGCGAGGATATGGAGCTCGGAGTGGGTGCAGCGGTCTGAGTCAGTGCCGGACAGCAGGCCTGCTCGATGGCTGCCTCCATGATTCTGTAACAGCCTGAGAATGAAAAGAGGAGTTTTAAACAATAAATGCAGATGTGTTTTATGATAAATGTGTGTCCCGTTATGCCCATCACATTTAACTGCTGTGTTCACTGAGCTGTGAACTGTGCAGAATAGGCACTTGTGGTAAAAACGATTAACACACTACCTGTGAGTGTGTGCTGCAGCTCTGGGCTCAGCTCGTTGCCGGGCGGCTCCTCCAGGCCCATCCTGACCTCCACACAGGCCCGGTTCACCAGTAAGCAGCAGATCTTTGGGGGTCCCACCAGCTCCCACCCATACAAATCCAGCAGACACGCACTGAGGACCAGGATGAGCCCGATCTGCCTCGGTGTCAACTTAGCCTGCATCATGGGTCTTAAAGTCCCCCACATGCAGCTCACAACTCCCTTCAGCTCATCCCTCGCTGCGGCCACTCCTACTGGGGGCAGGAACTGCACCAGCTTAGAGCACATGTCCAGTCTGGCCTGGTCTGTGGACTGACAGAAATCTTTGGAGAGCCTGTCGAGCAGGGAGTGGAGTTCCGCAGGGTGTTTACCCCATGCTTTTCCCTTGGTTTTACCAGAGAGGAGGCAACCAAGCAAGGCGAGCCCCCTCTGCCGGCTGAAAGTCTGGTTTTGTTCCACTGCTTGACACAGAGCAGGAACAGCCCCTCTGCTCAGTAGCTGATCAAGACCCCTGGGTAAAGCACACACTGCCGTTAAAACTTGGTAGCAGTCAGCAGCTATGGCCTCATCGAGACGTTCATGCGGTGACGTTTCTGGAGATGTTGACACCCCGTTTGAATCACACTTTTGCTTGCTGGTTTTTCTCTCCCCAGCTGATTTTTCCACTTTGGCAGGATTACTTTCTGGCCCTGAACTCTCTGCTGCTTGTACTTTACGATCTGGACTCTGCCCCTTTTCTCCAGCTTGTTTCTCTTGCTGCTGGTTTGATACAGGACCATCTGCTAAGAGGCCCAGCAGTAGCGGGATGGTGGTGAGGAGCTGGGGATGGGAGGCCATGTCTGGGTCTGTGCTCAAGGCAGCCAGCAGAGCTGTGCCCAATGAGAGGAGTTCATGTGGGGGTAAACCAGAGCTCTCACGCCCTCTGACTGCTGTCACCAAAAGCCGAGCGGGAAGGTTGAGTCCGACGGCCTCGAAGATACGTCTCAAAGTGGGTTTGTCTAGTTGGCTTGCTGGACACAAACGAGTGATCTGAAATAAACAAAGGAAACAAGGAGAATTGTATTGATTGATAACTTTAAGCTTTCATATTTCAACCACAGGAAGAACTTATGCTCAGAAAGCTGTGTGATTTATTCCTTGAAATGTTTGTAATGTTAATTATATTCATAATGAAACTCAATGGAAAGGTCAAACAAGTGTTTCAACACCAGGACAGATTCAACTTCAACAGTATCAGCATCAGTGGTGATGGTGGAGCAGTGGTTGCCTTTTAAACGATTTACAGGTATAAAGCAACTAATTACAAATACAGGCATAAAGGTAATTTACATTATTATAATAACTCATCTAGTATGAATCACCACGTTTCTGTATAATATATTTAAATCCCCCTGAATGTGTCACGCCAGGATAACAAACACAGTGGGAGTAGCTACCATATGGTGATGGATCCACGTATCAAGACTCACCAGCAGAAGAGCAGCAAGAGTGTGGCTGTCATTCTGAGCGTGTCTGAGAGTATGAAGACATCTTTCCAACACTTCTCTCTGAGCATCAGTCAAACCGCCTCCATCATCCCCCTGCGAGCCTCCTCCATCTTCTCCCCCTGCTCCCTGCTCCTCTTCTCCGGGAGGCTCGCAGCTCACGACCTCGGCACCTTCCGCCATTACGACCTGAGACCCAATCAGAGAAAAATAATTTAAAAAATAACGTTAAGCTTTAGTTTAAAATAGATACATTTTTTTTTTGTAGATGTCAGCGGCTCCACGTCACTGAGAGTCAGACATATTTATTTCATATTGTTATTTATTCCATTGCTGAGTCTTGCTAATCAAAGGCCGATTGAAGATTTTACTGTAAAACGTCAACGTTCATAAAAATAACTTACTTTAAAAGAGATAACCTCTCACGCGCCTCTGCAGCTCGTGGACACAACCCGGAAGTTGACGGTCAAAATAAATCCACAAGCAGCCAATGGGGAGGCTCGGACAATGTCAGCGAGCCAATCACAGCGGGGATAGTTGGGAGGCGGAGGCGCCATTTTGGATCGTCGGAGAAGCGACGTCACGTTAATATTTCGAGCACGGATGTGTTATTATTATATTATTTAACTGTGGGGGGG